TTTGGACCTTTTTCAGTACACCTTCTAGATTGCCATCAAACCCTGCCTTGTAACAAAGAAAAATAGTTCAGCAATAACAACTGTGAACATGACTGGCTTTGATAGCATATAAAGTACTCTATGCCTGCTGTCATCCACCTTTCTACCAAGAAAAGGGAAATGCATTCATCATTTTCTCTCTGATTCCAAAATCATTCATTACAATTAATCAGCCACTCTTTAAGTGTTGTTTTCTTTTACATTTTAGTAGTTATTCTGAATATTATTTTTCTAGTCCTACTTTATTAGACATCAGTACATATGAGTCTTCCCATAAGAAAGCTTTCCCATAAGGTTCCCATAAAGAACCTTTTTTTTAGGTTCCTTATATTCACCTTTGTTTTTTTCTTGTGGCACAGCACATTCCATTAAATTTATATATGGCAATTGGTCCAGGCATTCACTATTCAGTGCATACCTACTTTGTTGCAAATAGTTCATTCCTTTTTTTTACTATGACTGAAAGCACTACTATGACTATTTTGGTAAATATTGGACTTTCTGTTATTGACCTCCTTGCAGTGTTTGCTTGAGAGTGGGATTACTGGGTCAAAAGTGATACACGTGTTCATGACTTTTCTTGAATAATTCCAAATTGTTTTTTAAAATGGTTGGAACAATTTACAGCTCTTCCATCAATATATTGGCATGCCTTTCTTCCCTGAGGCCCTCCAATATTAACTTTGTCCATCTTTTATCATCTTTACTAGTTTACTGTGTATGAGGTATTGAAACCTTAGTTCTTTTCATTCTTATTCCTTTTGTTCATGATTTCAATTTGCTTATTACTTCATTGTTGACAGTTTAAATTTCTTCTTTTGAAAACTCCTTATATCCTTTGACCATGTATCTAATGGAGATCTACTGCTCTTTCTACTGGATCATATTCTTTCCTCTGAAACTATCTTCTATAATTTTCATTAAAAAAAAAACAAACCTCTTTCAAGCTTTATTGTGATATCATTGGTACTAATTGTGTTCCAAAATTCTTGGAAAGTATTCTTCCATTTCCCACCTAGAATAAGAAAATAGCTCCTTTGTACATTCAGACCATAGAAATGGAGTTTGTATTGCTGCTTCAGGAGCTGAAATTGGACTACAAGATTATAACCTTAGCATCTTATTTTCCTGTCACTTATAAACATCCCACGCAACTTGGTTAGTTGTGGAAAATTTCTGTCATGCATCTGGGGCTATATACAAGCGATGCAAATGGAAGAAATCTGTCCCTTCCCAAAAGGAGGGAGGGCAATGTGCTCTAACCAAAGGGATCAAATTCTTCACATTGTTCCCTGCCTACATTTTAATATAATCCTTCTTAAACTGAGTTGTTGGATTTCTAAAAGGTGGTGGCTGTGGTTGTTGTTGTTTTAAAAGAAGATAAAGACAACCTAATTCTACTGTATCCCAACTACATTATAAATATCTCCTTTGTAATGTATTTTGCAGGAACATGCAAATTACAAGAGTGGTGAGAGCCGCAATTGAGAAATGGTCTTCTATGTCTCTAAGAATTGCTAAAGACAGTTACTATAGGTAGCAACTGCCCCCCCACACACATTTCTTTCAGAAATGTTTCAGATCATCTAAAGAAGTTGTGCTAAGGCTTAATCTGTCAAACTGCATCAAACTGACAGATTGCTAATTATAGTTCATTCCAAAAAACCACTGATATTACATGTCTCATACAGACTTGCAAAAGCTAGAAAATCACAGTTCAATAGTAAAGTGTCCAATATTTTAGCATAATGAAGGTGCCACACAAAAATGTTAATTTGACACCCTGTGGTGTCTCAGTAATAGTCTATTAATACTGAACTGTGGATGCATTTACATTTATCTGAGATGCTTAGAAGGTATCTCCAGTGAAGTGAAGAGAAGGATGAGAAAAGAAGCTAGTTTAGGTGAAAAAAAAAAAAAAAAGGTTGGCCTCCCCCTTGTTAAGTGTTTGTGGCTTAAATGAACCTCTATACTAAATTTTTATAGATATTTTGTTTCTACTTATAGTTGTGTCTAGTAGATGAGAAAATAAAGCCAGTTCCCTAGTTATACTAGGACAGGCAAGGAAATTGGGGTTGGGCTGGTGTTTTAAGCATGTGCTTTGTCTTTTTTTCTTCAGCATAAAAAGCTGTGTAGGCCATAAGCAAGATTGGAGAGGCAGGTCAGATTGGAATGCATACCTGTTCATACCTGTCCTTTTAAAACTAGATGGATAAATAAATACCAAATGATTATAATAGACTGTAACATTGTTGAGGGCAGAGACTGTTTCATTTTTGTCCTTTGCCTTCCTTGTTTCCCGAGTACTTAGCATAGTACCCAGGACATAGCAAGTGATAAATCTTTATTGATTGACTAATTGACTTTATATTCCTGGTGCCTGGCAAAGTGCTACACACACACACACACACACACACACACACACACACACACACACATACATACACACATACATACACTCATACATGCTTAATAAATGCTTTTTGATTTGTTGGCTGGTGGAAATATTCTAAGGAACTTTCTTTTATATTGCTATTTAGACTGATTCAGTCTTCATTAGGACAATTCCAAAAAGTTATGAGAAGCCCTTCATGACCAATTGATTTCTGATTGCTATAAGATGAAGGAAAAAGTCCAAAATGTAACTCCTGCCATTCTACTTAGAGGATAAGAAATAAGGAGGGCTTCTCCAAGAGCTGTGAATAACACGTCCTTCATCTAAAGAGCATGAGCTTTCCCTTCTGTTTTAGTCTGCAAACCCCATTAAGATACTATCCTATGGAACATAGTAGGCACTTAATAATTACTTGTTGGGTTGAGTTGACCAGTCTGTGGAGGCAGAAACTAGAATTCCCTGACATACGTCATGCTGTAAATGATGAAATTGAGCCCCAGAAAAAAAGAAGGGACTTAGCCACAGCCACATAACTAGTAAGTGGTAATTAGTGAATGGCTACAAAAAGTCACATGGAGTTTGCTTCTGTTCTCCTTTGGCTCTGGAATCAGGGAGGGGCTGCACAGAGCTAGATTTGGTGTCTCCTACAGTGGTGGGATTTGAAGGTAATGTAAGCCCCCCAAACATCTTCCCCATTGGCTTGACATGCTGCTACCCTCCCCATATTCGCTTTGAAATTCTCCTCATTAAGATAAGAATCATCATTTTTAGAAGACTATTAAAATGCCCATTTCCTGGGGGTCTTCTTGTCTCATAATGGAATGAAGGATTTAGAAAATTACTGAATCTTAAAGGTAAAAAGAACCACTGGGGCCCTGTAGACTAGTCTGTACCTGAACAGCAGCCCCTTGTACAACATCTCTGGCAAGCGGTCATCCAATCTCTGCTTGGCCCATAAAGGAAAACATCTTATCTCCATTTAGAGTGATAAAGGACTTTCGACGTCATCTAATATAAGGTCCTTATTTTACAAATCATGAAAGAAAAACTCAAGGGGATAAAATGACATACCCAAGGTCATCTTTAAGTACCAGAGCCAGGATTCAAACCCAGACTATCTGACTCTCACTCTAGTGCATGACCTCATATTTGAACAATGGTTAATATGAGAGGGGAAAATTCCAATGGGAAAGAACATGGTGTCCAATCCTGAATAGTGACAAGTTTACTTCACAGTTTTTGGAGGAGAATTGAGATCTTTCTGCCTTGGAAACTACCATTGTTAGCTTTTAGGTATTGTGGCTCTTTCCTCTACCCCCACTAGCCAGATACAAGGATTGACAAACTATGGTATAAAAACCATTCAAACTTCATAGGCTATACAAAAAGCAGGTAACAGGTAAGATTTGGCCTTCAGGCTGTAGTTTGCCAACCCCTTAGTTAAAATATAGGTCTACACCTTTTTTTCTTCATGAGCTGGTATTGATTTCTTTGAAGTCTGTGTTGGAGGTTGAGAGAGCCACGAGAGCAACCAAGTAAAAATCCACTGTAGACCTATTGGTGGTCCTAGAATAAAACTGGTTGAGACTTTGGAGAGCATCTAGTACAGCCCCCTTATTTTATAGATAAGTAAACTGAGGCCCAGGGAAATTATGGGACTTGCCCAAGGTTGCAAGTGACAAAGACTACATTCTCTGCTTATGCAATCAAAGAGGTAAAGGTCAGCATAAAACTAACAACAGGTGACACTTTGCAACTTCATAGGTGTTTGACTTGTGTTTTATCTTTGAATAAAAATGTATAGTTACTTTCAGAAATGGTCTATATGAAGGGAAGATTTTTAAAATTCTGATTAGAAGCTCCAGGCATTTTTGTTAACATTTTTTTTAATTGTCAGAATACTTTCCTGAAGGCAGCTTCTACAAATTTAGAGGTTATTGAATTATTAATTCCTGCAAGCTATCTTCTAGGAATAACCAAATAAATATATCTTACTTATCCTGGTGACTGGTTTTAGAAATATTTAGAAGAAAAAATAGCTAAAGGTTGGTTAATGAAATTGCTATTAATCATTGTGGGAAAGAAAGCCGAATTCACAAGAACACGCTCTAATTTACATCACTTTTGCTATGCTTTTGCCAGCACTGCTATTAAAGGGTAACAAACAAGTATTTATGAAAAGAGCAGGTTTGTGATTAAAATAATTCTTTTGCAAAACTCAGAAAACAGTATCGGAGTATGCGAACTGTGCGCTTCCAACTGGAGAACCCTGTATTTGTAATAAATTCCTTTTGCTCTGGATGAGTTCTGCATTTTCAATGAGGTTAACTTGGCAACATTCTAGTTGATTTTAATAAAAATAGCTGCTTTGAGGACAGGGAGCTGAGGTTGCCAAATTTACAGCTGCCTTGCACAATTACTCTTACACCTCCTTCAGGGCTACTTAGAACCAGTAAGCAAATTAAGTGTATCGATTGCAATTTTTTTGGACTAACCTTTTTTTTTAAGGAATAAACTTGATTCCTTTCAGTATGTGTCTGTTCAGAGTGATCTCTTTTCTTTTCAGCCATAACACAAAGACAACATCATGGCTGGATCCACGACTTGCGAAAAAGGCTAAACCCCCAGAAGAGTGCAAAGAAAATGGTAGGTTATTAAGTTTTGGGGGTTTTTTTTGCTGTTTCTGGAATGAATTTTAAAATTTTTGTCATTATTAAATGCACACTTTACCTCAAAGGAAGATCTTGTAGTTACTATTGGAAGATAGATAAGAAACTCAGCATTTCAAGGATGCCATGTGGTTGGGCTTTTTCTGTCTGATGATACTGTGCTGAATATCACGCCCGGGTGCTCTCTGTTGGTTGTGTTTGACTCCTGGACTGACTTCCCCACCTACCACGAAGGACTTTTGTTTGCAGTATGTCTCTCTGGGGACTCTGATCTTTGAATCGGAATGAGATATGGTGTGTGTGGAGAACCAGCATGTGTTTGGATTATGAATAGGATTTGATTTATTCTTAAAGGTATAGTACTTTACCTACCAGTAGTTTAAGAGTCAGCAATAGTAATAATTGTGTCTTTTAAAATGTTTAATCAGCAACTTATAAATGAGAAAATACCAGTCAATAATAATATAAGGCCAAACTTTTGGAAATATAACCCAAAAAATGACGAAATAGAAATAAGATTGGAAATATTTGAAATAAATATTTTTCTCAAAAAACAGCATTATTCTTGTAGTTACAGCAATATAATAGATATTACTCTTTTTCAGATATCAACTTGATTTCCTTCTAAATGAAATGTTTAAATAAAAGTGCATGTTTCTGATTAAATCTATATTATGAATTAGAACTGACATTCAGAGAAAATATTTTTTTCTTTATGTATATTATTGTGTTTCCAAAAGTTTATTAGTGTATTGGTATTGCTTCTGCTAAAAAGCAACTGTTTTGTGGATCTAAGGATAGTTTTCATCAGTTTTGAGTAATCGATGAATGTAGGCTTTGTTTATTTGATCAGCCAATTCTATTTTGCATAGATAAAAGACTAACACTGATGATATTTGTAATTATTCAAAATACTGGGTCACTTCTTTGTTATGGGGTCATTTCATACTTAGGGAAATATCTCTGCCTTTAAAGAATTCCATATTGTAAGAAACCTTTTCATTTTAGTAGTAACCCTGGCTCTCTTAAAATTTAAATTAATTGTTCTGTGATTCCTCATCTTGTGATCCATTTGTACATAATCTAGGACTATTAATGAATGAAAGAATGGTTATGTATCTAATTGTTCATAAAGTCATATACAGATGCACTTACCTACATAAAAGTAGTTTTTTTTCCCTAATGACATGATTTGGCTACTTTACATTATGGACTTTTAAGAATGATTAGGCTTCATTTTGGTAATATAGTTGGATATGATGGTGTCATTTGTGATGGTATGTAAATTTAAGTTACTGCAGCTGTTGCATCTAAGAGTTACTTGGATCATAGTTAGTAATTATTAGTTTTTCCTTATAAGACTAATTAAATTATTTTATGGTCCATTGACATTAAACTCCTCAAATGTAGTTTATTGACTTTTGTCTGAGTTATTCTTCTCATAATTTAAAGCTCTGGAGGTTAAACCCGAAGAAGATTCTGGGGAAAGATATGAACAGCAAGAAGATTTGACACTCCTTAATAGGTGGTTCCTAATTTTTCAATGTTAATACTAGCCTTCTCCCTCAGATGGTAGATACCTGATGCCAGCATCCTGTGTATCATATTGCATAGCTAGAATCTTATAGTTTAGAATGTAAAACAATCCCACTCACTGTTCCCATCTTGATTATTGTTTGCTTTTATTTTCCATAAAGCAAACAACTTTAGATTGTAAAGTATGTGCTTTAAAAAAACCCAAAAGGTCAACTGAAGGTAGCTGGCATCCTGATAGACATAATTGGAATGAGACTGAGAAGCTTTGTGGTACAATAGAAAGGTCATTGTACTTGGAATCAGAAAACACAGAGTCAGATTCTAGTTGTCACTTACTACCTGGAGGTTTATCTGGGAATAAAATATAGGAAATTCAGCAGTTTTCCAGGCCTAAAATTGTTGCAGGTTATATATAGACAGATGTATAAGCATGACTTTCTATATACGTATCTTGGCAGCTAGGTGGCACAATGGATAGGGTACCATGCTTGAAGTCAGGAAGACTCATCTCATGAGTTCAAATCTGGACTCAGACACTTACTAGCTTTGTGACCCTGGGCAAGTCACTTAACCCTGTTTGTCTCAGTTCTTCATCTGTAAAATGAACTAGAGAAAGAAATGGCAAAGCACACCAGTATCTTTGCCAAGAAAATCCTAAACAGGGTAATGAAAAGTTGAACATGACTAAAATGACTGAACAAGAACAAAAATATATAAGCATATTTAGTGTAACATATAAGTATATATGTAATTATTTAAGAATACATAAAACATATAGTCATATTTAATATTTTAGAAGGGGAAATATCACAGCCATTGAGTTTTCACAAAATCCCTATGTACATAATAAGAAACAGCAGATATCTATAGATAACAGTTTGGCAACTATCTAATGCAGGGCAGAGAGATACAGTAAAAGACATAGTAAAAGAGATATAGTAAAAGAGGGATCAACTAACATATCTGTGTATAAACTTGTTATCTTACAGGGAATGAGTTTGGGGGCAAACATTCTTTTATGGCCACAAATTGGAATAATATAATACCTAATGTTATTGTGGTTACAATGGAGAGGGAAAGCATTAATGACTCAATTTAATACAATGCCATTATTGCAAAAACATACATTATTAAAAAGTACTGACCATGGGTAAATAGTTTCACCTTTGTATAGAAATAGTCACACACATATTGCTATGTAAAGACATATACAACCTACTACCTGAAATACTAAATTTTAAAAGTACCCATGATACTATGTTGTGTCGGTTTGTGTCCATACATTTTTTGGTTCAGGGGACGTATTTATATTTTAGAAAACTGGAACTGTCAAAAGTATTTGGTTTTATTAGTTTTATGAATGTCTTCATGTACATGCTAGTCTCTGTTAGCATATTTGTGTAATGGCTGCTTAGACATGTCATGGAAATGTGAATGTCACCATTTTTCAAAACTCCTTCATAAGACAGATCTGACTGGCAAGACCACATTAGGCCTCCATCCTCATGACAACTCTACATTTTAATTTTAGTTTTGATTTGCTCTATTCTGAGATCCTCCAGCATCAAAACCATCCCTGGGTCAACTGAACCCAATCCACTCTTCTTTCTAGGGACAGTCCTACAAGTAGCCAGCAGACTAGAAACATTCAAGGGCCTCCCTCTCTGTTAAAATCCACATACAGCCACACCTTTTATCATACTCCATCTGTGAAACAGGTAGCAAACACATATTGTGAAATTTGACAAAAACTGTTATCCTAATTCAGTTTTCTTGATATTACTAAAATCTTACATTTTTTTCCTTCCAAAATGCATGTTAATGGGAAGGTAGGGCATAATGTGATAATAAATAAGTGGAGATTTGGGTTTTTCAAAGAAGGATGATTGTCTACTGAATAGGACATGACTTTTATTGCATACTTAATTGGGTTTTGGTTGTTTCCTAAGTTAATTCTACGAAACTGACAGTTAAATTAAGGGATAAATAGCTTCATTTTTGCAATTAAACTCCTCTTTTAAGACAGCATGGGATACTAAGGTAGCTTTAGAGTAAGCCTTTATAAAGTGCCTTGGTGAGAGAATATACTAGGATTTGAACTATGTTGAACTTGCTCTACTAATAACAAAACTACACTAGAAATTAGTTCTGTGGTTCATAGGCCAGCACTTATTGTTTTTCCCCTTACAGAGTGGTTATGGTCTAGTTTCTTATTTAATTCTTCTTGCATATTAGCAATCCTAATTTCTCAAGAAAATTAAATATGGCCAAGGTAATTTCATATTTAAGTAGCTTCTTTCTAATCTTTTAAGCTTGGTAACGTATTTGTGAAGCACCTTGAAATTTCTCCATTAGGAAGAATAAAGTGGAAGATGAGTCACAAATGTGTAGCTATAGAAGTGGGCTCTCAAAGAGTCCGCATTCACTTCTACTCTATTAGTTATTTACAAATAAAAGTTAATTTATAAGTTTTTTTTCAGTTTTCATATTAGTTTTGGCTAATATGGCAAAATAATGTGTGAGTACACTGGTAAAGAGAAAGAAATTCCAGAGCTAAGCAATTCTTGATGGCCACCATAGGGATAACTAATATTGTAGTGTTTTTTGTCCCTATACTAGATTTTCTAGTATTTGGCAGCATTCATCCTGATTACTTAAACTCTGGTTCATCTCCTACTTCCAACTGATGAATATTCAGAGATAGCAAAATAATTTAGAGTCATAGATACTCAGATAAATTTAAGAGTGTAGATGTCCTCAGCAAATTTTCATATTATTAACTCAAAATTCAAATATTAATCACTTTTGTACTATAGACTATTTTGTTATGTTTATTCCTCTGTCCTTTCAAGATAACTGCCATTTTCTCACTCTCTTGCTCTCTGGCTGTCTTCCTCTCCTATCCCCTTTTTTCCTTTCCTCCTTTTCTTTCACTATATATGTATATTTATTTTTCATTTGAAATTTCCATACAATATTTGTATCTATCTCCTTTTATTTGTGGTTTTCCACTAGACATTAGCTTCTCTAAAGCCACAAAAGGGTCAAGAGGTCACTGGGCTCATTTCTCCACACACAGTTACAAAACCTTAATTTTTTCCTTAGAGCAATTTTTGGTGGAATCAATCAGCTGTAGACAAAAATTTGAAGGCCAAAAAAAAGTAATAATATTTGAGGTAAAATGTTTTTTTTCAAGAACGGGTTTTAAGTATTCCCCCAGAATGGGGGGGGGTGTTTGAAGGATAAACCAAATGGTTGTTCCACGGTTTCTCCTTTTTTTCTAGTTCTTCATGTTTTTAAAATAAACTAGTATATTGTTCTTTTATTAGTAAACTATATCACACAGTAACACATTTTATGTTTGTAAACTAATAAAGTATTTCAAGCTATACAGTGCACTAAAACATTTTTTCCCACTTTCTCAGTGTTTTTCCTTTTTAA